GACGGGGGTTGGGTGGTCCGTTAAAGCCGATTGACCGTAGATGGGAAGGGATTATTTTTTAGTTATAAAATTAATATAGTGTGGCACAATTTACGAGGCAGAGAAAGAAAGAGAAAGAAAGGAAGGCAGAAAGAAAGGCGAGACGAATCGTAGGTGATAAAACAGCCACACACATGGCCTAAGAGACAATGAAAATATTGATAAGTAACAAGTGAAAAAGTGTGTCATTACAATGACAGGGAATTTCTGAGTAAAAAAAAAAAGAAAAGGAAAAGAAAGAAGGAACCAGATGTGTTTTGATAACGGCTATGTTATCTAGGTGCGTAAACGAATGGCTGGACCATCGCCCAGGAAAAATTCAAGTGAAAATGCTATTTCGATAAGTGACAAGAAACAGGCCACTAAAAAGTACTTTGGACAGATATGAAAAATTAAATCCCACCCAAGCAGTGCAGCTGACTGAATTCTTTTCGACGAAACAACTTTGCCCTGCGATAATAAAATTATGTTATCAGACATATGTACCGAAGGAAAATGAATGGGAACCAGAAGTGTTTTTATTTCTTCTTGGAGGCGACATACTGACTGAAAATTTTGGGGATATTTCTTTTCTGAACCCATGTTACGAAAACCAACCATCTTGATAAATTAGCGATAAACTACCTGACAAACACCACGTGTAAAACAAGAGATGTCATATTGTCCGTTCGTGGCTAGAGAAATGATAACGGCGATTTGAAAGGAAGAAAAAGGAAAGAGAAGAGATAATTAATTTTTTTTTAGTTAAGCAAGGTATTTTATTTCCCGAAACAAAGCCACGGATTGTTCACGCCCGACTAAGACATCATTGGTCAAGTGGTGATCACGTGACGCACGAAGGAGGAGGAAAGATACCCGACCAAGACCTCAATGGCCGGGAGTGATCACGTGACGCACGAAGAAGGCTGTCAACGCCCCATCCAGAGTATAAGTATGAGAAGCTGCTACGAAGAAGTGGGGAGGGTAGTTCACGCCCCTCAGAGGTATGGTGAGAAAGTGGGAGTGAGGAGGGGTTACCAAAAATGGAAAAGAGTGGAAAATCCCTAACTAGAAATAAAAGAGGTGGATATGTATTTAGAATTATCGAGAACCCCCCCCCCGACGCCAACAGACCCAACCCGGTTTTTGTCGGCGTCAATAACAGCGAGACCCCAACAGGCAGAAATCAGTTCGGGCTCTGGCGGCAGAGATGAGTATCCAGAGTTTTGGGCTCGAGTTTCCAGAGTTGAGTTCCCAGAGTCAGTCTCCAGTTGAAACCGCCTTGAGATAGCTGACCAAGATTCACGCAAAATTCCTGACTCCTCTTCAACCCAAGAACAATTATTTTGAAGAGCGACTTAGAACCAGACCACTGAAATAGGTTTTTTTCGACTTTCGTCCAAAGACACACCGAAACACCAATTTCTTAGAGAGCAAACAACTTGAAGCGTTAAAACTTGCCCAGCGGAAACGACGTGTCACAATCCACAGAACGGGTCGGGAGATAGATGCAGTCCTATGTATCGAACAACTAGACATAAAGTTTGTTACCTTTTTCTTTGATACTTTGAACTTTTTGAGTTTTCATTTCATTTTATTTTATGCATATTTTTGTAGTATCACCTACGTTGAACTCAATTTGCATTACGGCCCCAACCACTGTTTGATCTCGTCTGTCTAAGATCAATTCACAACGTGGGTAGGCAGACTGGAGATCAATGCAGTTACCGTGGTAACCAGGCGTTGGAAGTGAGTTGGGAACGACGAAGCTGATATCAAATCTAACCAGATTCCCACCCGAATCACCAAAAGGTTAAAACGTCACATTTGGGTGCCGCGACCGATACCAAGCCAGTTGGTCGTCACAGGACAAGACAACACAACTGACGCGACAGCTGGACGTCACGTTTGGAGCAGCGAAACCCGGACGGAGCAGCGAGGAGCGAACAGCTGGCGCCGCGGCGAGGACGTCACAATTGGTGCTGTTTGGGGACGTCACAACTGGCGCCGTGGTAGATCAGGATAGAACGTCACAGTTGGCGCTGCGACCGGGGGACGACGTCACAATAGTAACTATCAATAGTCCTGATCATAATGTAAATACTATATACATGTATATATGGCATAAAAATATATATACCTAATAGAGATATATTAATCAAAATAAGAAAAATAATAGATTTCAGTCTATTTTCTCACGCATGCGCTAATGTATCGTACTTTCCGTCTTTATTTACAATTGAAAGGCCAGCAACTGCCGTCAATCTGTCACTTTGAGAGCTAATACGACTCGTTCCGCTAAGCCCGCAAATTTTGAAATACATCGCTGACGATTTGGAAGTTTTATTTCCTGCAGATTGTTTTTATTTTGCTTGCCGATTTTGTCCATTGCATTTGAAGTCCGTTGGTGGGAGGTCCGTAGATGAGAGGTTCCTTGCGTCTTAGGGGCAATATCGCCTTGCTTGTGGTGAATTAGGTAAAACGAAATGGGACACTCTTTCTTATTTCGATAAACGTTATTACCGGCTGGAGATATGTGTAAATAGATAGATTTATTTTTTGCAAGCAGTTAAAATAACGTGAATTTCAAAACTCTGCTGAAAGAAAATTTCCCAAAGAGGCGCATTTCTTGAAATGGCTAATTGAGCTTTGTTTTGTCATATGGGCTTCCCTAACCTAACGACGAGCAAAAAATGTTTCTCAGAAAAAAAAAACCCCAAGGAAATGCAGGTTCGATCTCTACTAAGTAGTACACATTTTAAAAATAATAATTTCCAATGATCTAGTCTATTCGAAATTAAATTCGCTGTTTATATATAAACTGATATTTCTTCGAATTATATAACTCTTTCGGCTAAATATGTATATTTTGGGATCGTCTTGCTTTGTCCAGATGACGGGTAGGTTTATCATCTCTCAGTTGCGTCTCTGTCTTCGGGCAGAGTGCGACACAGTTGTGGCTCTATCCATGGACAGAGATGCAGCTGAGTAAAATAGATACTGTGAGGTGCCCGACCCTGGGAAACAGCTGCCCGGGGCTGCACCCACAATTTCACTAGAAAGTTTTGTATCGGGGGGGGGGGGAGCACACCGATGCCAGTGCAACCGACTGTTGCTGGAGCTGGACATTTTTTTTATTTTTTTTTACTTGGCACGGGTGTAATCGCTCGGGTTCCCCACGTTAAACACAGCCTTGTATCACGTCTCGTCTCAATTGGAGAGACCAGGTTAAATACATACTAAATGTGTACCTTTTTTTTTTCCAAAGTGTTTACCTTTTTATCGCCTTCCGCGGCCCAGATGCCGAGTAGGGGTATCATCTATCAGCTGCGTCTCTCGCTCTTAGGGTAGAATGCGTCTCACTTGCTGCTCTGTCAGGTGAATATGGTGGCCATTTCAAAGGCTTATTGTCATCATCACTGGCACGCCTGATTCATCTTCCTTGTAGACTTTCATTGATATATATATATATATATATATATATATATATATATCGGGGTTTGTTCATATACAAGATTCTCCCATCGTCTTCAACGTAATGCGGTTCAATAGTTCCGTCCGTAGAACGCAACTGAAAACTTACGTATATGATAGTAGACAGGTTCGTCTATCGCCCAGTTCACACTCCTTAGTCTTTGAAAAATGAAACAGACGTTTATACATTGTTTCCTGTTTAAGATTGGGTCTGCGGTTCCTTCTATAGTCGTTTCATTCATTTTGACTCCCAGTATCCCCTTTCCACTGGCATTATTCGCCGGGAATTATTTTTTAAAATTAGTATGCGATGAAGTCTCCAAACACTCTTAATGAGATTTGAATTTAGACATTTCTGCTTTCTAGTTTAGTTCCCAACCAAGAATAGATAGATCAGTTTACCCTGTTACTCATAGCTGAATAGAAAAAAAATGAATTCTTAATTTTTCCCAAGGGTATCTGTGAAAACGTTAATGCACACAATCTCGGCCTGAATATGAACTGATCATGCTCATATTTTATATACAGCCACTTCAATTTAAGAGGTTTTACAAACCTATTCGTTAATCCCTGAGAAAAACGTCACTTATTGTCAGCACATTCAGAAAGTTAATCGCCATTTGTGCTGAGCATTCTAATCACGTGACCCGTCCTTTAATTAGGCCATTAAGGACATCTTGCCTGCTTCATATAATAGAAGGAAACTGAACATTTTTACCACTAAATCAAAGACTGTAATGTTTTTTTTTTGTTTCTTTGTTTCTTTTCACATCTTTTTTTAATTATTTAATCACGTTTTCTTCTAGATGAGTAAGCAAAATCTCCACCTTGATTTGATTGATTGTCAAAGCGTGATGGCATTTCGTCTCACAGTTTCGACTTCGCCTCGACGCGCAGTAAAAAGAAAAGAAAAAAGTAAAATAAATGTCTAATGGAAGTCAATCGAGTAGATTTACATTAAAAAAAAATATATCTTCTGGTGTAAAGAGAAAGGAAACGCTGTTAAGCGCAAATAAACGGAATAACTTTTATAAAATGTACAACACATAGAATAGCAAAAATAAAGAGAATCGCAAAAAAAAAATACGATATTCAAAATAACTATGTAAAGTGCTTTTGAAATCCTTGAACTGTTCAATTTTTTTTACTCATTTATAGGTATTTCCGTCCTTTTTATTTTATCTTCTTTCCATTCTTAATCTTTGTTTCAACTTTTATTTTCCTCTTTGTCATTTTTAAATTATTTCTCGTCTTTTTTTTATTTCAATTTTTGTTTTTTTTCGTTCTGACATGCGTTGTAGAGATTTTCCAAGTGTAGCTTAGATGTGGCACAAGGTCGAAAGCGTAGGGCACCCAGTGAGGATCAAATGATTTTTAATCATAGATGAGATGTGGCACAAGGCCGAAAGCATGGGGCACCCAGTGAGGATTGAACTAAGTACTCAGTTGTAACAGTTCCAGAGTGACAAGCTTTTTAACCATTACACCACGTCGAGGTGCCCCCCGACATGCGTTGTATCTACTACTTTGGTTTCTTTTTCATAACAATTTTCTTTTTTCTATTTGTTTATGTGGTGTCTTTCTTTTTTAAATTCTTTTTCTTTCTGAATTCTCTTCTTTTTCTCTATTGCATTATGGCTTTTGTTCTTCCGTTTCTTTCTTATCCTTCTTTTTTTTTTCTCTCTCTCTCATTTCTTTGTTGGTTTCAGTGTTGGATTCTTACTATTTGTCGTTTCTCAGATTCATTCTATCATGAGTTGTTCCTCTTTGAGTTTTCTTCGTTTCCTTTGTCTTTTCCTCTTGGCATTCTACCGTTAATTCTACCGATTTATTTATTCTACCTTGCTTACTCACTATTTGTCTTTTCCCCCCTTTCACTCTGCCTTGAATCCTGTCTATTTCGCTTTTATTCAATTAATTCTTCATTGCATTCTTCTTATCTTTTTCCGTTTGATTTCTTTTACATTGATTTCTTTGTTTATATCGTTTCTTCGTTTTCTTTGAATTCTTTTTTTTTTTATTTGGTCTGACTTTTCTTAAATCTGTTCATCCTTATAGATGTCGGATTTACCGTCTTTTTTTCGTTTCTTTGATTTTTCCCACCTTTTTATTCGTTTTCTCCAACTTTGTCTTCTATTATTTTGTCCTTTTTTTTTTCATTCTTTCTCTTCTTCTCTCATTTTACTATCCATTAACTTTAATGTTTTATTTTACATTTCTTCTCCCTTGCATTCGTCATTTTCGTTTGTTTTTTCTTTTTTCGCACGTTAGTTTTTCCTTTTACAATTTGTCTTTTCTTCTATTCCTATATTTTATCTTCTTCAATTTATTTCTTTTTTTCATTCTACTTTTTTGATTTCGTCTTTGTTTTCATTGTTCTTGAATTAATCTTCATTGATCTCTTCTTTATTTTCTTTGTTCTTGCTTGCTTTTTCTTTGATCTCGTCTTTGTTTTCATTATTTTTAAATTCTTCTTTCACTGATCTCTTTTTCAGTTTCTCATTATTATTCTCCATTGCTTTTCTCCTTGTTCTTCTATGTTGCATTCTTTCTCTACGTCATCGACTTTTTGCTCTTCTTTGAAATATTTTCGTTCTTTTTTTCTTAACCCTCCACATTGCCTGTGAAATATCTTCTGATGGGTTTCCTTACCTAAATCTTTCAAAATATAATTTATTTTCTATCCTTTCTCTTATTTCGCCATCGCTTTTATTTTCTTGAAACGTTTATCTGAAAAACGAAACTGTTTATCACCTAATATCCACCCAAACTAAAATCCAAGATAGCATATCAAAATAAATATCGATTAAACATTGAATGATAACAATAAACAATATCTGCAGAATAAGAATAAACATTCCATTATTGGGTTCCTCATTTTTTTATTTCTTCTTTTTCTTCTATGTTCCCTATACTTTCTGGACTTTGACGATCATGCCTTTCCACTACTTCCTTTCCTATTAATCCTTAGTAATTTTTCTTTCTTTTTTGTTTTTGTTGAGATCTCTTATAACATGGTGAAATTCTGTCCAAAAGGTGATTCGAAAAAATACTAGAAAGAATTCTAAAGTAATATCGTATTTCCCTTTTCCTCCTAACATTTTTTTCAGAAGTTTTTGTATCCTGGGTAAAACGATATAGTACATCCTGCAGCAAGGCTTCTGATCAGAGGATTTTCAGGAACGTGGAACCATCTCTTAATTGCTGTTGTTACCAAGTCCACCCGGACCAGGGTTGATAGCCTTTATTAGGGTCCCAGCTATGGGCAAATAGTTACCCCTATCAGACTGGGATCAAAATACGACGAAAACATAAAAATAGGTTTTAATAGCAGCAATACATTTTGCAAAATATGTTACCAGCAATATATTATGGGAAAAATACCAGCAATACATTTTTAAAAAAAGAAAAATATTGCCAGCAATATATTTTGGGAAAAATACCAGCAAAACATTTTTTTTTAAATATTACCAGCAACATATTTTGGGGAAAATACCAGCAATACATTTTTAAAAAAGAAAAATATTACCAACAATATATTTTGGGAAAAATTCCAGCAATACATTTTTAAAAAAGAAATATATTACCAGTAATATATGATGGAAAAAAATAACAGCAATTCATTTTTTAAAAATAAAGAAAAATATTACCAGCAATATATTTTGGGAAAAAAAATATTACCAACAAATCTTGTCTGCATTAAAGAAGCCATTGAGGATGATGTGCCATAAAATAAAACAAACCAAACCAATCAAAAAGTTGTAAGTAATTTTCTTCTCTGTGTCGTGTCCTTTCGTAACTTAGGCATTCATGACTCTCCATAATTTCCTGTCGTTAGTAATCTTTGTATTTTTAAAATATCTTCTAAAACCAATTCTGCAAACTATTTACTCGCGCTCATTTTGCGCTGCTTTCCTCTGTCCTATTTGTCTTCAATATGTCCTGTGATTCAATTCTCTTTGTCCTCATTATTTGCCCTAGAAATTTTAGTTGTTTCTTACTGTTGTTATGTATAAGTATCCTTTTTGTTTCCATTTTCTTTAAAACATTGTCATTGCTCACATGTTTGGTCCATATAATACTCAGGATCCTTCTGTACAACGATATTTCTTTTGCCTCAACTTCTCCATCTGTGATGAGGTGGTCCAGCATTCACTGCCATATAATAGTACGATTTACTTTTCTATTAAGCCTCTGTTAGTATCGTAAAAGTTTGGGGGCATTGTACAAAATATTTTCCCTAGCAAATCTTTTTTCTTAATACTACAAAGTTTTTTTTTTCTGGTTTTAGCTCTGATACTTGTGTGTATTCTGATCTTGGAGGAAATAATTTATCTCATAATTGTTTCAGAAACGGTTGAAAGGGCCAGAGGAACATTCTTGTTCAATGTTTGAAAACAAACATTTGATGTGGGGTCATATTCCTCATGATAAAAAATAATTTTTGCATATTTGAATCTTTTGAAAGTTACAAATTTTATTTTTATGGCTAGACTTTTAATTCATTTTTTTAAATTAATTATTTCGTGGATCAATGAAGAGGAAAACGAATATTCTGCTTTCTTCCCAGGTCGGAAATGCCAGTCTCTATCACGTCGTTAGATATGGAGATTTATTAAACACAGGTCGAAAATATGGAGCACCCAGTGAGGATCGAACTCACTAGTCAGTTGTTGCATCACGTCGAAATGATTTTCTAAGCGTAGCCTAGATATGACACAAGGCCGAACTTGTGTAGCACCCATTGAAGTTCGAAGTAACAGCTCAATCGTAAATGAACTAGGAAGACAAGATTGCTAAGCATTGCACTACGTCGTTGGGGGGCCTAACACATCGTTATATACAAGTATGCAACAATATCTGATGGAATATTTTGTTTCGTTGTTTTGTTTAGCAGCATATGTGTACACACACACACACACATACATATATATATATATATATATATATATATATATATATATATATATATATATATATGCATTTCACCCCAAGCAAGGTGGGAGTGGCACTAGCACGCAAGGGGTTACAGAGGGGGTAGAACAAGAGTCAAGAGGTGTGTTTGAGCAAAGTATAAAGAGAAAGACGGGAAACTAGATCATAAATCAGAAGATATCGATTGTATCTGTCTATATTTCTGAGATGTGGTATTATGTACATTATTTACATTATTCGGACTAATGTCCTCATTTTTATCACCATATTTATTCCAATGTTTCGGCACTTGTACGCTCCGGCCTTCTTCAGGTGGTTCGAATTTCGAACTGAACCCTTTATTTCGCTCACTGGGGTAGACTGTTCTAGTCCCACGTGCCATGTTTAATGGATGTCAGTTATCAGTTATCTCCTGTTAATTTCCATCTGAAAGTTATCCACTGCCTTAACCGGGTATTGAACTCATACTCTTTGGGTCATGTCACTGGATCTAACTGGCATTCATTATTACTGGTTCCCATATTTTATTCATTTCTATGCTTGGTCGGCTCAGGAGATTTTTGTGGCCTAGCACATATGCCACAAGAAAAGTGCCAGAGAAAAGCGATAATAACAACAAAAATTGCAATATGAGCTCTGGTAAAAACATACAATGATAACAGCAAAAATTGCAGTATGAGCACTGGTAAAAAATTGAGGCTGAAAACATTAGGCTTATAATACCCAGAAATTCATATATAATGGTCCTCAAGACGTTAGTTAGATCCAGTGACAGGACCCAAATATTTCAATACCCGGTTAAGGTAATGGAGAACTTTCAGAGGGAAATTAACAGGAGATAACTGACATATAAATATGGCACGTGGAACTAGAACAGGGTTCAGTTTGACGTAAACGTTGTAATAAATATGGCGATAAAGATGAGGACATTAGTCCAAATAATGTAAATAATATAGATATCGATTGACATTACATTTGACGGCTACGTTTCGGCAGTGAAAGGGTAGGACCGAAATACCAACCTAGTAACACAAATTAATACAGTTTGGGGAAAATACTTGTTGAAAAGACAGAGGCGAAAGTGACTGATGACGAGATCCCAGATCAGAACCAGTCACATTGCATATCCGTCTCTGGATTCTATCAAGGATCTGGAGATGAACAGCGCGGGCTCCAGACCCTATAAGGCAGTAGTATTCAATGTAAATATGAATAGTTGACTTATAGATTTGAATGATGGATTCAGGCGAGAAAAGCTTTCTGGCGCGACACCGAGAACCAACTTTCCTTGCAGTAGATGAAGCTATTGATTCAATGTATTTGTTCCACTTCAGGTCAGCGGACAGCATGAGACTCAGCAGGCGTAGATAGGATTAAAAGTATGGAGCAACCAATGGCGATCGAACTCGTTGCTTAGACGAATAGTTCTAAGCGTACCTTAGATACGATACAAGGCCGTGAGTGTGGAGCACCATGTGAGGTTCGAACTGACTACTCAGTCGTAATTAATATAGTGAGACAAACTTATTAACCATTGTACCATATCGAAGTGTCTATCACATCGCCAGATAAAAGTATACAATAATGGCTGATGGAGTATTTTGATTCGTTGTTTTTGTTTAACAGCATATTAAAATCTACCAGTTATTTAATGCCGGAATCTAAATATTTAGAACGTAATTTTATTTATTTTTGATGAGACACAAGTCTTACTAATTAACCCAGGCGGGGCGAAGACATGGATTCATACCTTAACCAAGGGTATTTACGCGTTAGTGGATATACTGAACTCAGCGGGAATTCGAACAGGAATAGGTTCTGACGAGACTCAACGTTATTTAACATCGGTAGTCTCATGAGAATTAGTGTTTCAACGTGATGTGGCTCTCAGCCTATAAGCTAAAATATGATTTCTATTTTGCATATGGAAGAATAAAGACTTTAATATATTCCCACTTTATATAGTCCTTTGGTTTTTGTTAATAGCCGGAGAATGGGCGAAGGCGGAGAACTGGCGCCTCATAACCAGCTGCGTCGGGTAGATAGAGATTGATAGCCGAAGAAGGCAATCCATGTAGAGGATAGAAAATCCTCCGCTCCGAGAATATGGTAAATAAGCTGTAGATGGCTCCATCAAACATCGCAGTTAATTACTTATTGGGCGATGAGGGTATCATAAAAATACCGAACCATTCCTAATCGGATTGAGAGAGATAAATCAGTTCCTTTGAAATCTGAAATGAAATAACAGAAAACGTCTGATATCATTGAGGTGTTGAACTGGTCAACCATATTTGTTATAGTGTGTTCACAGCTTACAGTGTGACAGAATCCTCCAAACATTTAACCCTCCAATATTAATAGGCGTGATTGGGTACTCCACAAAATATGTTCCTTAACCCATTAACTGCCGATTTTTTTAACGCGCATTTTTGGCCCAGACAGGTGTCTTAGGAGTTTATTTATTCCTTATGTTTCATTTCAGTTGTTGCCATTGTCATTTTTCTAGAAACTAGAACATCAAATATATATGTGTATAAAACATCAAAAATAATATGGATTAGAAATTCAAAATAGTCATTATTTATCTACTCGTGAAATGTAAAAGTACGACAGAATTACGGCTAATAATAAAAACTTTAAAGGCTAAGTGTTTTAAAATATACCTCTGCA